TGGATGGATAGGTGGATGGGTGGATGGATGGATGGATGGATGGATGGATGGATGGATGGATGGGTGGATGGATGGGTGGATGGGTGGATGGGTGGATGGGTAGGTGGATGGGTAGATGGGTGGATGGATGGGTGGATGGGTGGATGGGTGGATGGATGGGTGGATGGATGGTGGATGGATGGGTGGGTGGATGGGTGGATGGATTGGTGGATGGATGATGGGTAGATGGATGGATGATGGGTGGGTGGATGATGGGTGGTGGATGGATGGATGGTGGATGGATGGATGATGGGTACATGGATGGATGATGGGTGGTGGATGGATGGGGTGGATGGGCAGATGAAAGAGAGGCACAGAATAAAGGGTACAGGGCTGCTTAGCTAATGGATGGGTTAACACGTGTGTAAAGGGGTGGGGAGTGGGAGTGAGATGAGTGGGTGAATGCACAGGGAGAAGCAGTTGGGTCTGTAGAGGACACATGGTTGCATGGGTGTGTGAATGATGCATGCATCCACGGACATACGTGTGGGTGGTTAAGTGGATGAGTGGATGACGGGAGGAGAGCTTGCAGAGGGAGGTCGGTGACTGGATGGGCAGTGTGAGGAGGGGTGCTTGTGCAGGGAGATGATAGCTGAGGGTCAGTAAAAGCCTAAGTCCACGAGCAGAGAGGTGACCGGTGGGCGGTCAGGCGAGTAACTGGTGTGCAGCTGAGGCGGTGCACACTCCCAGAGGCAGGCCAGCGGGGTCTGGGGAAGACGCAGCTGGGTGGGCGATGAGTGGGTGGAGGATGCATGCATCAGGGTTGTCGGTGGGTGACTGGATAACTGGGCAGGTGGATAAACCAGCAAATTGGTTGAAGGGTGTAAGGGGCCTCTGGCTGTCCACTGAGAAAATCAGCCCTGAAGACAGGAAAAGGAAACAAAAACATGGGAAGAAAACTGAAGGCTCAAGCATGGGAAGACAGAGGGCTGGAGCCAGAAGTGTGGCCGAAACATGGGGCCAGAGTCGCTCTCCTCAGACTGCTGGGGCCAGAGTCGCCCCCCTCAGACTGCTGCAGCATTACCTCAAAGACTTCATCATCTAGGATGTGGGCACCAAAGACCACCACCCCATGGGTGTCCAACACCGGATGCACGCTCCGGGGAAGGGGCCGGGTCACTCGCTTCTTGCAGTCCACAATGAGGGTGACAGACTGACCCTTCACAGCCACAGCCACGTGGTGCCACCTAAGGGCGGGGTAGGAAGTTTACAGGACTATTGAGATCAGGGAGTCAACAGGGCCGGGATACAGCTGTAGAACACTTGGCGGTGATAATGGGATTAAGAATTACAATGATAAGGCTGGAGAGATGGCTAAAGGGTTAGGAGCACTGGCTGCTTTTCCAAAGGGTCTGGGTTCAAGTCCCAGCATCTGTTCAGTGGTTTACAACCACCTGTAGCTCCAGTCCCTGGAGAACGAACACCGTCTTCTGGCATGTTGCGGGAACCGGGCACAAACACGGTACATAGACATTTGTGTAGGCAAAGCCCCCCCTCCCACCGACTAAATTTTTTTTTTTGGAAAGAAGTACACCTGCAATCGTTTTCCAGTTGAGGAGTCCTATCTGATAGTCTGTCACACAGACGTGGAAACTGAGGTTCAAAAAAGTTCAGTAACTTTCCCAGTACTCTGATCAAGAAGTGACAAGTTCCGGCGGTCGGTCACCAAGGGTGCCCAGAGGGCCAGTGGAGCACCTCAGTTTAGAAACTGGGGGTTTGGGGCACTTTCTGCTGACGATGTGGGGTCGGGCAGTGCGAAGGGACAGACTTACTTGCCATCTGCTAGGCTGAGGCCTCGGAAGACAGGCTGAGCGGGGGCTTGTGGCCGTCCCCTCTGGTCCTCATAGAGAAAGCGGACAGGGCGACCTAGCTCCAGGCCCAGCTGCTGGACCCCCTGGGCACTGTACAGCGTCAAGAGGGGAGCCTGGAGGCCAGGGCGGGTCCGCACAACAGTCAGCAGAGAGAAATCTTTGGGAAAGCCTCCTGGTACCCCAGAGAGAGAGATACAGACGGAGTGAGACACAGAGAGATCCCAAACCTCTTCTCACCGCCTCCCCAACCCACTGCCCAAACCTGGGAAGAGCTGCCGGGTGGGCGCGCTGAGCTGGGCAGGCCGTGACACGCGGTAGGCCACATCAGCTGGACAGACCCCTTTTGATTTCCGGACACCATCCGGAAGGGAGGGGAACCTCAGCGCACGGAGCACGTCCACAGAGGGTGCACCTGGGAGAGTCAGGGTGACAGTTAGGGGACAGGTCTTTAGGCCCCCACGGAGGGCCTAAAGAGAGGACACTCAGATCTCAGCCTCCCTTACATTCTCCTCAAAGGACCTAGGTGGATGGGAAGCAAAGTGACCCTGAGGGGAAGCGCAGCTGGCCGGAGCTGCAGGCCCTTTCTCCGGTCCCTTCCAGCGTCTGCTTCTCAGACTCACTGTCTCTGTCTCTACTGAGATTTCTCTTTCATTCCCTTCCTCCATCTGTCTCCCCTCCCCTCTCTGCCTCTGCTCCTGTCTGCACCTGTTAGACCCTCCCACAACCCCTCTCTTCTGTCTCCCTGTCTCCCCCACACCCTGCTCATCCTCTTCTTTCCCTCTGTCTTCCTCTCCCTCCCTTTCCGTATCTCCCAGCCTCTGGCTTCCTGGCATCTGCTTGGTCTCTAGCACAAACAACATCTGGGCAATCGATCATCCTGGGCACAGGGAGGCAGAGAGGCGGCCATACAAGAGAGGTCTCCCGTTGCTAAAGAGTGGGTAGAGGTGGGGGCAGGGCAACTCTTCCCTGGTAAGGAAGGAGATAGAAGATGGCCCAGAAGCCTGTGGCCCGAGGCTTGGGGAACGGGTTTGGAGAGGGGGAAGGGGAATCTGCCACACAGAACAGGAGCCGGTCCAGGGCTCCAAGCCACACATCTGTAGATGCCATCAGAGTTCTTGCCCAAACCCCAGGCAAGCTCCCCACACCTGGAACCTCATTCTAGCCAGCCATCCCCCACCACCTGAGTCCACAGATTCAAGTCTCAGGCCATCAGCCAGGCCTCCTTAGATTTCACCTTCCTGGGCCCAAACTCTGGAAAGCGAAGGCTCGCTCCCTAAAGCACACACCTCTCACACCATCTCCATGGTGGAGAGCTGTTACAGACAGTGCTTGCAAAGTGTTGGTAGAAGCGTGGGGCGGGGCAGAGGCCAGGGCAGTCAGGGGAGCAGAGCCGGGTAGGGTGGATGAGGTGGGGCGGGCAGGAGAGAAAAGGCCCTTTGAGTCCAGGAGCTGAGGAAACCGCGACCTTCCCCCCGCCCCTGAGGAGCCCGGGCCCCAGAGTGTGGCAGCTCCGCAAACACTGACACACAAGGGCAGCTTTGAGAGACTGTGCTGAGGGAGACAGAGACACAGAGACTCACAGAGACCCACAGAGACCCCAGAGGTCCCCACCCTCCACCAAAGCCCAGTGGAGGACAGTTCCATGCCACTTCCCACAGGCCCGCCCGCCTCAAGCCACATACTAACCCCACTGTCTATTGCCCAGAGCCCCCAAACGCCCTGTTCGCCACTCTCAGGAATTCTTAGTCACCCATCTCCGTGGAGTCCCTCCTCCACCCACTCAGCTCCCAAGTAAGAGACCGTTATCTCGGTCAGCCCCTGCCTAGACCCTGTAAACACATGTACTTCGTTTTTCTCTTCTCTCTTTGGTCTAATCTACATCCTTACACTGTCATTCTATTTCCTCTCCTGAGCAGAGAACACATGAATAATGGAGATCTACGAAATCTCTCTCTCTCTCTCTCTCTCTCTCTCTCACACACACACACACACACACACACACACACACACACACACTGCATGCGCATATTCCAAGAGAGAGGAGCTGGGGAGCTGGTTTCTGTCCTGCTTAGACCCAGTTATCAAATCTTCTTTTCTAGGAGTTTCCCTTCTAGAGGAAAAAAGGGAAAAGATCAGACCATGGACACCAGGGTCCCAGGGGAGTCCCCGCTGGCCAGAGGGGGAGGGGAGGGGCAGGAATGCAAAGCGTTGGCTCTGGCCTCAGACACCTGATCCTGGCTGTCCAGCGGCCGTCCTGTTGGCAGCCAGCCCCGGTGCTCCCTAGAGCCAGCCGCGTGGCAGCATCCAGGGCACGGGGAGGGGTTGGGGGACCCAAAGAGGACAGGACTGTGGAGGTAGCCTTCTTCCCTAACCGTCTAGGCTCTGACCTACAGGTGTCACCCCACTTCCTTTAACCATCAGCAAAGCCTGAAAATTCGGCCTGTTCAAGCTCTGGGCTTTTGGCCTTACCTGTCCTCTTGCTAGTCATTTCAAGGAGGGAGACAGCCCTGCACTGGCTCCAAGGAACCCCAGTGTCATGCCCTTCGTCCTAAACCCTGGCCACCCCAGGTCCCTTTTTTAAGACTCAGATGCTCTACCCCAGAAATCAGGGTCCCTTCCTGGCAGATGCTACAACCGCCAGCTGGCTGACGCCCAGGCAGGACTCCTCTTACCTGCCCATCCCGGGGCAGCGCTCAGCCCCAGCACCAGAGGTAGGAGCAGAAGGAGGCGGTGGCAGCGGCTGCACCGCTCCATGCCTCAGAATGCCAGGTCTGAGACCCGGGCAGCCCGGGTGCCGGACAGTAGACAGAAGCCGGCTGAGCCTCGGAACCAGGACCAGGGAATGTCAGCGGCTCTCAGCGTCCCAGCTCCATGCAAGGTGCCGTCGCGGGGACACCTCTGCTTGCTTGTCACTGCTGTTTGCTCCTCGGTGGCCGCTACTGTGTGCCCCTGGCCACCCTGGCAGCTCAGAGACCCCAGCTTGCCCCCGCCCCCAGGTCCAGCCCCCGCCTCTAGCCGCCCGCCCACAGCTACCAAGGGGAAACCCCACCCCATCTCCACCTGGGCAGGGGAGTGCGGGGGCAGGAAACCTTCCTCACTCGCTGGTCCTAGAAGGCTGCGCCCCCACTCCTGGGGAGGGGTCCTAGGTGGGCTGTGTGCACCCTCAGGTTGTATTTGGGAGAACACAATCTTCTCTAGCCCCTTCCCTTTTTTAGGATCCCATGGTTCCGTCACACCACGGTCCCCGCCCTTGGGGGCCCAGAGCCCCTCTGCAGAGTCCAGGGAGGGACTCAGGGCACAGCGGGACAGAAGGGGCGGGCTTACGGGGGACCGCCCCACGCCCACTCGTAATCAGGTCTCCATAATTACCTCCCTTGTCCCACCCCATGTAATTACAGAGCGGTCCTGGGTGGTGCGTTTACAGACCCAGCTATAGATAGTGCGGGGGGGGGGGGGGGGAGCCTTGCGGAGTAGAGGGAGGTGGGCAAATGGGCCAAATGCCCCAAGAGATAGGAGTACCGGATAGGTAAAGCAGAGTGAGAAGGGGCACAGGACCGGGGAGACAGGTGTTGCTGGAAGGGTCTGGCAAGAGGGGGTCACTCAGGGACGTGGCCGCTCTAGGAGAGTAACTCTGAGACCAGCGAGCCCCTAAGGGCGGGCACGGTGCCGGGTCTGCCCGGAGCCTGCGGCGCAGCCCGGGAGAAAGCTGGAGTGAGAGACGCCGCCGCCCGCTGGCGCTGGGAGGGCACCCGCGAACAAGGCGCCTTTGAGAAGCAGCCGCTCTCCCTCCTCCCTGGGCAGCCCCGCCCCCAACCTGGCACACCCTCTCCCCCTCCCAACAAAGCACGCCTTGTCCCCCGCCCTGCAGCGCCTCTGCAGCCCCAGGGAACCTCAGGCTGTGGCAGCATCCAGGGAACGCGTCAGGGTCTCTCACCGGATATCCCCACACCTAGCTGCCATGGTGCCTACCTCCCATAGTTACCTCAGTCCAGAAAACAGGTATTTTAACTGGAAAGCGATTTTATGTGCGAGTGAAAGAGAGGGAGGGGATAACCCCCCCCCCCCCCAAAAAAAAAGAGAGATCCAGGGCGAAACCCATGCAGCCCAGCACCCATCTCTGCAGCTGGCCATGCCCCAGCAATCCTGTTCCCAGCCTGTGTGCGGAAGGGCTAGGGAGCAGCTGTAAAGAGCCACCCAGCCGCCCCCTCACAGCACAGACCTCTCGGGATGAGCAAGGCAGAGCCCCGCAGAGCGCCAGGGACTGACTGCCTTGCCTCCTTGCCCACGCCACCCCCAGCCTTGGCATTTGAGCCAACCTGGGGATGTACAGTACTTCTTTGAGTCTAACTCGCCGTCTCTCCTCACAGGAAATTAAAAATAGCAGTGGGTCCCGTCCCCCTTGTCCACTACCCCCCTTTACTCTTCAGTCCAACTGCAGGAGGGGCTGACAGGAGACAGGCAGACCGCTGACCTGCCCCTTCTGCCAAGTCTGGGAGGATGAAGGGCTGTCAGAGCCCTGCTCCCACGACCATCAGCTTGGGGGCCTGCCCCACAATACCCCTTTCTGGGGGAGCTCCATTCCACTCTTCAGAAAGAGTGAGGCAGGAAGAAAGGGGAGCAGGGTCCCGGGACAGGGCCAGTGCTTTGTGCTGGGGAGCCAGGATGACAAATCACCCATATCATGGGAGACCCCGGCAAATTCAGAGACTCAAGGCCACTGAAGGTAGACACGTAGTCGGCACAGGGTCTGGGGTCCCCTCTGACTTGGAGACCACGCAAGCCCTGAAAGTGCTGCCCAACCCCTGCAGGCTGGGGAAGTCCCTCCTGCTCTGCACCACGGCTCTGGCTGGGCCCTCGGCCCCTCCCACCCCACTGCTGAGAAGCACACGAGTGCCCGAGTGTGGGTTCAGGCCAGCTGGTGGGGAGCCTCCAGCATCTCCATGAGGAAGGTGTCAATGGGGGTGTCGCCAATGAGCTTGAAGAAGAACAGGTGCTCCAGACACTTGAGGCCAATGGAGCGGAGGGCAGGAAGACGTAGCAGCAGCTTGGCAAACCTGGGGGTGGAAGGGAGTGAGAGTCAGAACCATCCAGGCCCTGGACAGACCCTGCCTCACCCCCTGAGGGGCCACAGCCCTGAAGCCCTCTCACTGGCCCTGCTGCTCGTGGTACCTGGGGCCACACCCTGCCTCACCACCCCCCCGCCCCCGAGGGGCCACAGCCCTGAAGCCCTCTCACCGGCCCTGCTGCTCAGGGTACCTAGGGCCAGACCCTGCCTCACCCCGAGGGGCCACAGCCCTGAAGCCCTCTCACTGGCCCTGCTGCTCAGACCGTGCCTCACCCTCTGAGGGGCCACAGCCCTGAAGCCCTCTCACTGGCCCTGCTGCTCGGGGTACCTGGGGCCACACCCTGCCTCACCCCCCTGAGGGGCCACAGCCCTGAAGCCCTCTCACCGGCCCTGCTGCTCGGGGTACTTCTGCTTGCAGTAGGTCTCCAGGGACGCGTACACCTTCTCCCGCAGAACCTCCACCTCTGCAGGGTTGGAGAGACCCTTGGCATCTGGGATGGTCAAGGAGGAAGAGGAAGAGGAAGAAGGCAGGTGAACCAAGTCAGGACACACAGACATGCACAGGCGGCCCTCAGGATGCTTCAGAGGCAAATGAGGCAAACTGGGTTTGTGGGATGGGGTCCGAAGGGAAGGCATCAGTAAGTAAAGAGGCTTTTTCAGGGTCAGCTAAGAGATTTCTGGGCTGAGGGTCTTACTGAGGGGGACCGCTGGAGAAGAGAAGGCTCCAAGGCTGCCTTGGGCTGAGAGGCTGGGTGGCCTCCTCTTACCTGGATTAAACAGAATGATTGCCCGCAGGCAGCCAAGCTCTGTCTTGTCCATCCTCATGTCCCGCATTTTGGACACTAGCTCTGTCAGCACCCTGGAGAGGGACCTGCAGGTCACTCAAAGGTCACAGCTCAGCCAGCCTTGGACACGGACCAGCCTATAGCCCCACCCCTTCTAGCTACTGGCCAGCCTGGCCAAGGGCCACTGACCGATCAAAGATGGCTCCCACGCCTGCGGAATGGGCTGAGTTTCTGTGCACGTGAAGACCTGTGGCCAGGAGGATGCCGTCTCGGACATCAATGGACCGATGGGAGAAGGATGCAATGAGAAGCTCATTCCAGCCTAGGGGCCAGAGGGCACTAAGGGTCAGCAGCCAGACATCAGGCCATGGGATCCAAAGCACAGAGAAAATAGGGAGCAAGTCAGCAAGCTGGGGCCCCTGAATATGCAAGAGAAGGCTACTGGGGTCACTGAAGGTCAGGAGGCTAAAGAGGGACCACATGTCAAGAGATCAAAGAGATGCAAGGTCACTGACCTGCTCGAAGCAGTATGACCTGGTCATCCAGAGGTAGGGAGGAGAAGTGTGGGATCCTCTTTGCCCACTCAACGAGCGTAAACAGCTGTTTGTCAGCTGCCTGACAGATGTTAGTCACTGGGTCATTTGGCTGCAGAGACAGGGGTAAGACACCTCCCTTGTAAGGGGCTTTTGAGACTCCTTCATACCTTCAAGCCCCATCTAAACCCACCTCTGTAGTTCAGGCTTCTCTTGTGGTAGTAACAGAAGCCACTACTGATCTGGGACTGTCCAGTGGGAGCAGAGATGAGGAAGCTCTCCCCCCAAAACAGAGACAAGACTCTGAGACGGTCTCACTATGCAGTCCTGACTGGCCTGGAACTTGCTCTGTAGACCAGGCTGGCCTTGAACTCAGGGAGATCCACCCAAGGGCTGAGATTATAGGCATGTGCCACTAACACCTGGTTCACCTCAAATTACTCAAAGGCCTTCGGTTCCAGGCACGGTGAGGAGGGGTTGAAGGAAGGGAAGAGGAGAGAGGAAGCACACCTGGACCCCTCCCCCAAGCCCCCATCTTGAGGAAGAAGGGATCAAGCCCACCACTCACGCTGCTGCCGCCGCCCCCGGTGCCCCCAGGACCCTCCACGCCTTGGTCGCTCTTCTGCTCCACAGCAAGCTCTGCCTCCAGGATCCTGTCCACTGGCATCTCCTCAGGGGCGCCCCCAGCCCCATCCCCGTCCCCATCTTTGTCCTTTCCCCGCTGACGCTCCTCCTGTACAGCTGTGGGACGGGGAGAGAAATGCAAAATTAGAAGCCAGCTGTGAGGGGTCTAAAATCCACTCGAGGCCTTCTCAGGGGCAACATCCCCTGGACAATCCGAAAGCAAAAGGACTCTCAGTGTGAGACATTAAATAGCCTCCTGAGTTCTCGCAATACTCAGCCAGTTACACATCTGACTCCAGACATGGTGGATGGCAAAATGTACGCTCTGCTAACTAATAGGACAGCAGTCGGTTGACCCTGGTCTGGGTCCTCCGAGGTGTGTGTTCCGATTCTGGTCCTGCCACTCCGCTGTTGCGTGACTCTGGGAAAGCTGAGATTCGTCTTCTTTAAAGCAGGAATTAGACCAAAATAAGGCCTAAAATGTTGTCTTAGAATTCCAGGAATCAGGTCTAGTTAGACAGAGTCCGAGAAGAGGGACCCCATGTCCTGGCCTCTTCAGTGATTCTGTAGCTTAGCCAGGTAGAATCTCAGGGGTTCAGGAAGGACTAGGAGCCCAGAGAAAGAACACGGCAGCCAAGAAAGGAAGGGGCTGTGTGAAGTGGAGAAGAGAGAACAGAGAGCCAGCCTGGGGAAGAGGCTATCTCACCCCAAGACCGAACCACGACCCATAGCGCCACAGGATTAACCTGAGGGGCAGCCATTAAGACAGAAACTTAGAGACAGAGCGACGAGGTACCAAGGACCAGCCTGAGGAGGACAGGGAAGAGACATCAAACTACACCCCTGGAGGAAAGAAAGACCAGTCCCAGAGATCCGGGATCCTTCCGTTCCTCCTCTGGGCTCTCTCACAAGGAGGGAGAAGGGCATGTGTCTTGAGGCCAGCCTGCGGTAGGATCTTACCCTCCCTTTTCATGCCAGTGGCCAGGCACTTCTGATAGCGACAGTACTGACAGCGGTTCCGCTGGCGCTTGTCCACTGTACAGTCTTTGTTATCGCGACATGAGTAGGTCAGGTCCTTCCGGATGGTGCGTTTGAAGAAACCCTTGCAGCCCTCGCAGCTGTAAACCCCGTAGTGCTTGCCTACGAGGGGAGAAGTGTGGCAGTAAGAAAGCTTCATGCACACCTCCATACCGAGTCCCTTGCCAATCTGCCCCCGTGGGTGGGTACGTGGTCTAAATCCTTCCTGTGTTTCACCCAAAAAGGTACAAGATAACTCTGTCCTCATCATTCAGAAACCCTGTACCAGCCCCTTCCTGCCCCTACCTGCATCTGATAGGCATCTAAAGGTCCCATGGGCCTTTTTGCTCTGACCAGCCTCAGGAACCCTTGGGAACCCCACAGGCAGTGGTAAACAGCCTTTCCTCCTCTGCACCTGCGCTGAGCCCCATACCTGAGCTTCGGTCCCCGCAGATTGCACATAGACGTTTGCCAGCCCCGGGGCCTCCTGGAGGGGGTGGACAGTGCAGGCCCCGGACCCCTAAGACTGGTGGCTTCACATCTTCTGGGGGGCCAGCCCCACCCCCAGGGAGCGACACTGTGGAGTTAATCTGGGATGGGGGAGACAGGTAAGTCACAGGAGACCTTTTGGAAAGAGACTCACACGTCAGAGAAACCATTCCCTGCGCGTGAGCAGGGCCTGGGTAACCCATTCCAGACGGTACTGGTGACACTGTGGGCTAATGTAAAGGGCCTTCCCTGAAGCACAATCCCAAGAATGCATATCCACCCTTCTGTAATTGTGCAACGCAGGGGCTCTGAAGGGCACACACACGTCTTGGAAGGGCATATCGAACCAAAAGGGCACAAAGTGACTGTGAGCTGAAAAGGACATAAAAAATTATTCCCTGTGGGCTTAGCGTTTTGATTTGTTTTCAAAATAACGCTGAGATGCATGCACCAAAAGACCATTCACTGAAGGGAGAGTAAGGGGTCTGAGACCACAGGCCGGCTAGGACTGGAGAACCCGACAGGTCAATGGGTCATGGGGAAGATGGGGGCGGGGTGAAAGCAGAGAGGCAGTAAGTGGGTCACCCCCTCTCACCTGAGGACTGCTGACAGGCCCGGAGAATCCTGGGGGAGCCGGAGGGGGCAGACCAGGGGACCCCATGGAAGAACTGATGACTGGGAAGGGGGAGCCCAGTGGAGGGGGTGGCATTGGAGGTGGAGGCGCTGATGGGGTAAGAGGTGGGCCAGGAGGAGGGGAGGGAGGGATCCCCTGGGAGAGGGGATTTGGGGACGAGCTGTCTGGGCTTCGCGAATCTGAGAGCGAGGTACACACAGGCAGACACACAGACAGAAAAGACAAGAAGAGAAAGTGAGTCCTTTGATCATCCAAACGGACACTTTAATTCTCCCTGAGCCACCGCACCCCACAACCCCAGAGTTCAGAAACACCAAGTGGCCAAACAACAACTTCACTCCCAATTTCAGTCTCGGGAGGAGGCAGTCCGGGCAGAGACTGGGTCATCCCAGCTGACCTGGGGGGAGGGGGCAGTGGAGAAGCACGTGGGGGTGGACCAGCGAACCCCTCGTCCCCAACTCGGTACCTTCGGAGCAAAGCGTACACAAGAAACCCCGCTTCCCGAGCGCAAGCCCAGCCTCCGCACGCCCAGAGCCCTCCAAGCCCGACGGGAACGGTGTCCTTCCCACGCCCGATACCTCGCACGCAGGCCCGGCGCCGCCGCACCTGGAGGGCGGAAGCTCCCCCGCCGCGCCCCGCCCCGGGGGAGGGCGCTGGGCCCCGGGATGGAGAGGGCGCGTGTTTACAAACAAGGGGGCGGGGGCGCGGGGAGGGGGCGCCGGCCGCGGCCCACCGGACACTCACCCCGCCCGCTGTCGCCCATCCCGTCCCGGCCAGCCTCCCCGGGCTCCGGCTCCGGCTCCGGGGTTGGCTGCTGTCCGGCCGCCGCCGCCGCCGCGGGATCCAGCCAGGGCCGCCGCCGCCGCCACCGGGACGCGACCCCACAATGCATCTCTTTTCTCACCCCCACCGGCCCACACTGCCCCGCGGCATGCCGCGGCGGGAGGAAGGGCGGACGAGCGGCCCAAGACATGACGCCGGGGCCGAGGGTGGGGAAGCCGGAGGGGCGCCGGGGACGCGCGGGGGGCTGAGCCGGGGGGACTCGGGGGAGGGGGCGCCGAGGAGAGCGGGCTCCGGCCCGCGGCCGCGCCACTCAGGCGCCGCGCTCGGCCCGGCCCCGGGCTGACAGCGCCGATGCGGCCGCCATCTTGGTACAGACGGGAAGTCTCGCCTCGAGCTCCCGCCCCCTCGCCGAGGTGGAACCCGAGCAGGCGGCCTCCGCCCCGCCTGTCAGCCGCCTCTCGCGGCGTCCCCTCAGAGGACCCCGGCCGTGCGCACGCGCGCGCGGGCCGCGGCCGCGCCGTCCCCCGGGGCGCCGCCATGTTGGTAAAGGTAGCGGGGCGCCGGCGGGAGCGGACGTCCTGATCTCGCGGGAGCTCGAGGCGTGAGTGCCACGTCCCAGCAAGCCGAGGACCGAGAGGATCCCGGACCCGGTGAGCACTCCCTGCTGCTCCTTCGCGGTGCTTCCCGGGCCTTGTCCCCAACTCGGGGGCCATAGAGACGGGGGCCCAGAGAGACCGTGAAGTTGCCGATCGGAGGCTAGAGCGGTGTCGGAGGGCGGGGCCCCTGCCTCCGCGAAGGGTGGTGGGGAGAAAGAGACGCGGCGTTGGGAGCACTGTAAGGGGGAGCAAGCCGTGGAGAGGAGGACCCCGCGCAGGTAGAGTTGAGAGTCAAGTGGAGCCGTTCTCTCTGTCCCTCTGGTCGGCGTGATGGCCAGGGGCCTTCGGGCCCCACACTGGGTGGCGGTGGGACTGCTGACCTGGGCGGCTTTGGGGCTGCTGGTGGCCGGACACGGGGGTCATGATGGCCTGCACAGAGACGTGGAAGAGGACTTCCATGGCCACAGCCACGGGCACTCACATGAAGATTTCCACCGCGGCCACAGCCATGCCCATGGCCACGGCCACACTCACGAGAGCATCTGGCATGGGCATGCCCACAGCCACGACCACGGACATTCACACGAGGATTTGCACCATGGCCACTCACACGATAGCCTCCACCACAGAGGACATGGACATGCCCACGAGCAAAGCCATGGAGCCTCTAGGGAGGCTGGGGCTCCAGGCGTCAAGCACCACCTGGACACTGCCACCCTCTGGGCCTATGTGAGTCCCCAGGGGGTGTGGGGAAGAGGGCCTGGCTCGCGATCGTCGGAAAACTCCACGTTTGCCTTCTGCCCCTCCTTCACCAGGCGCTGGGGGCCACAGTGCTAATCTCTGCTGCCCCCTTCTTCGTGCTCTTTCTCATCCCGGTGGAGTCCAACTCTCCCAGGCACCGCTCTCTGCTCCAGATCCTGCTCAGTTTCGCTTCCGGGGGGCTCCTGGGTGATGCCTTCCTGCACCTTATCCCTCATGCTCTGGGTAAGTGACTTCTGGACCTGGAAAGCTTACGCTGCTTTCTGTCTTTTATGTGACTGCAGTACCCAAATACGCATATGTCAAGCCAAGCGCTCCCTCATTGAGCCTCATTTCCTACTTCCCACAGAGCCTCATTCTCACCACACTGTGGAGCAGCCTGGACATGGACACTCCCACAGTGGTGAGAAGGGGAGGGACAGGGGTGCGGGGAAAGGCCTGCCTCCTCCAATTCTTCAGCTCTTGTGCTGGAGGAGAAGTCCAGAATCCACATCTCTCTTCATGCTTCACTGCCTCTGTTCCCAGGCCAGGGCCCCATCCTCTCTGTGGGACTGTGGGTTCTCAGTGGCATTGTTGCCTTCCTTGTGGTGGAGAAGTTCGTGAGGCACGTGAAAGGAGGGCATGGGCACAGCCATGGTGGACATGGAGACGGCCACACACACGGAAGCCACAGACAGGGAGGACAGGGTGAGCCCACACGGCCTGCCACAGAATTCGCTCGAGCTCATGAGGTGGGCCAGGCCTCAGCTCTGTCCCTCACCCGGACCAACTCCTGTCCTTGCTCAGGGTCTCCTTCAAACGAAAAACCCAGCTCAGAGGAAGAGGAAAAGGAAGCAGGAGACACTCGGAAAAGGAGAGGAGGAAACACAAGGCCCAGAGATGGTCCAGTGAAACCTCCAAGCCCTGAAGGAGAGAAGCCAGGCTCAGGTAAGGGGTGCGCTGGTGGGGTCATTGAATTCACAGAGCGCGTGTCGTAGGTGGCAGGGAGTATCTAGAGAGGTCGCTGTGAAGCAGCACGAGGACAGGCAGGGAGTGCGCCTTCAGTCATTTTGTCTTGTCTCTTTGCAAAAGACCTGCGTGTGTCTGGGTACCTGAACCTGGCCGCTGACTTGGCACACAACTTCACAGACGGTCTGGCCATTGGCGCTTCCTTCCGTGGGGGCCGAGGGCTAGGGATCCTGACCACAATGACGGTTCTGCTGCACGAGGTGCCCCACGAGGTCGGGGACTTTGCCATCTTGGTCCAGTCTGGCTGCAGCAAGAGACAGGTTGGTGCCAACACCTGTCATTAGCGCCTAACGGCTACCTTACGTCAGCAGCAAGTCCTTCAGAAGTGGGGGAGGGTGTTCCTTTACCTCTCGCCCTGTTTCCCTTGCACAGCGTGGAAAAGATCTGCAGGAGTTGTCTGTTAGTACCCCTCCTCAACGCTTTCTGCACCTGACTCTTTTGGGGGCTGGGTCCTGAGGCAGACACTTCCTTAGTAGGCTGTTCACTGGCCAGGGAGCCCGAGGCAGCCGCCTGCCTCTGCTTCCTGGTGCTGGGCTTGCCTCTGTCGGTGCCTGGGGTCCAGGCTCCCCTCCTCATGCCTGTGCACCGAACTGCTAGTGGCTCCTCCCCAGCCCTTGCCTGTCTTTCTCCTGTCTAGAAACACCTGGTCTTTGGCTGTTGGTGACCATGTCTTTCTCTTTTCTGCCCCCAGGCGATGCGTCTGCAGCTCCTGACCGCAGTAGGAGCCTTGGCAGGCACAGCCTGTGCCCTTCTCACCGAGGGAGGGGCGGTGGGCAGCGAGGTGGCAGGAGGTGCAGGTCCTGGCTGGGTCCTGCCCTTCACGGCAGGTGGCTTTATCTATGTAGCAACAGTGTCTGTGCTGCCTGAGCTGCTGAGAGAGGCGTCCCCGCTGCAGTCGCTTTTGGAGGTGCTGGGGTTGCTGGGAGGGGTTCTCATGATGGTGCTGATTGCCCACCTGGAGTGAGGGCTGGGGTGACCTGTCCTACCCCTCCCGATTCTCTGCCCCCAACTCCCAAATAAAGCAGTGGGGAGCCTGGCCAGTGCTACTGCCAGAGGAAGGAGTTTTGCCTTGGAGAACCATGTCTTTGGGGGCCTTACAGATGTGACAGCCCTACACGGCGTGAGAGGTCAGCGGGCCCAGAGTGTGGGGCACCACCCAGTACCCCTGCCGCTTTCGGAGAAATAGCGGGGCTGGGCTCACAGTAGCCTGCTGGTGCTCCCCACCTTACCTTTTCCCGGCACCAGCCTGCCACGTGGGCCTCCAGGGCCCATCTCCCTCCTGGTCAGTGATGGCTTCCGGGGAGGCCTGGCAGGAGTCGGGGAGATACCAATCGTGAGTCCTGATTGGGGGATGGGGTGGGATGTTCCCTGGTAGTCTCACAGCCTGCTATTCATTTTATACCAATGTTTGGATGGAACGGTGACCAGAATAAAGTACTTGGATCTTCTGCCTCACATGCAGCCTTTGTCTTTTTGGGGGATCAGGGCCCCTTGTCTCCTGGACTCACTCGGGCCCACCAAGGGGCGATGCTGGCCACACCCCCGCGGTGGGAGGTCCCCGCGCTGGTGGCTGCGGGAGGCCTACGGCTAGCCGGGTTCCCATTGGGCCCTGACCGGGACTTGCCACGCCCCCACTGTGCTCGGATTGGCTTGGGCTCGGGCCCGCCCGCCCACAGCCGCCATGGCGTCTCAACTCCGGCTTTGCTCCGCGCTGGCCTTGGTCACAGGTTCAGGGGTTCCCACCCGGGGTGGGTTGGGGTGCCCGGGCCATGTCAGCGAGAGCCCTCTCTGGGGTTCCTGGTCCTCTGTGAGTTTCTGTAACTTTGCGCCCCGTGACCTCTGACCTCGGCCCGTTGCTCCCGCGTACTCTCCCATCTCAGGTGCGGGTAGCGGCATCGGCCGGGCCATCAGCGTGCGCCTGGCGGCAGAGGGCGCCGCCGTGGCCGCCTGCGACCTGGACGAGGCAGCGGCCCAGGACACCGTGCGGCTGCTGAGCGGCCCGGGGAGCGAGGACGGGGCGCCGCGCGGGAAGCACGCTGCCTTCCAGGCGGACGTGTCGCAGGCCCCCGCAGCCGGGCGCCTGCTGCAGCAAGTGCAGGTGACCCGGGCGCCGCGCCGCGCAGCCCCCCGGCCCGGCCCTTTGTGGCCTCGGTGTCAGCCTCCCCCTCCCTCCCCTAGGCCTGCTTCGCTCGCCCGCCATCTGTCGTCGTGTCCTGTGCGGGCATCACACGCGATGAGTTTCTGCTCCACATGTCAGAAGACGACTGGGACAGAGTCATAGCCGTCAACCTCAAGGTGGTGATCTCTGAACCTGAGGCTCGTGCCCGCGCGAGCCTGGGCAAGGACTCGAAGGAGGGCTGCCACCCCAGCCGCTCTCTCGAGCCTTGTTACCCTCTCGTGCCAGGGCACTTTCCTAGTCACTCAGGCTGCAGCCCAGGCTTTGGTGTCCAGCGGCTGTCGCGGCTCCATCATCAACATCAGTAGCATCATTGGCAAGGTCAGGTCGAGTTGGGCCAGGCCAGCTAGCCACGTGGGCACTGGGAAGCGGCTCCCCCAGAGACTCCTGACTCACCCTGGGTCTCTGACTCACCGTAGGTGGGGAATATTGGACAAACAAATTATGCGTCCTCCAAAGCAGGAGTGATTGGGCTCACCCAGACCGCAGCCCGGGAGCTTGGACGGTGGGTCAGGCCGGTGCTACCTGGGGGACTTTGCTGAGGGGAGGGTCAGTGTCCTTCCCAGGGGCAGCGTCCGCACTTCTTCCCACAGACATGGCATCCGATGTAACTCAGTCCTCCCGGGGTTCATTGCAACGCCCATGACCCGGAAAATGCCAGAGAAGGTGAAGGACAAGGTAGGCTGTGGGTGGAGGGCAGTCTGTCAGAGGTCCCTGAGAGCTGGCTGGGCCCCGTGCAAACAGTAAGTATCCAGACATGGAGGTAATGCTGGGTGAGAAAATAAAGTCCACGAAAGAATCTCTCACCCACGTGTCTCCTTACAGGTGACTGCAATGATCCCGCTGGGGCACATGGGGGACCCTGAGGGTGAGCGCGGGTTGGGAGAAGGCTCGGAGGGGACACGACCTCAAACCTGTACTATTTCTGAAAAGGTCGCACAGGGATTAACGGTTGGCAGGGGCCTAGGGGTCTGGGGGCATAGCCACTCTGGGTCTGAGGAAGTGAGACCGCCCTTCCCCCACCCCACCCCCCAGATGTGGCAGATGTGGTTGCGTTCTTGGCGTCCGAAGACAGTGGCTACATCACAGGGGCCTCCGTGGAAGTCACCGGTAGGAGGCCTTCGTGGGGAGGGCGTACAGACAGCACCCAGACTGTGAGAGAGTGAGGGGACCCTGCAGCCTGAAGGGCGCAGGTCCCTTCCCCTCGGCACCCAAGCACCTGTCCCCGTGTTTCTGTCCCTCTCAGGAGGTCTTTTCATGTAACAGCCTCGAGGAAGCTGGACTCGGCTGACCCCCCCACCGCTGCCCGGCCTCCTGCTGATGGGGACGCTAAGTTCCCAGGCTACAAAAGGGATGGCAGTGTGTGGCTCAGGCACGCTGAATATGGGAGGCCGGGGTGCTTGTGACCCTAATAAATTCCAAATCCTCTTCCCTGCCACCTCCGGTTCTTCTTGTGTCCAAGCCCTCAGACCCTTCCCCACCTCCCCCTCTCTCCCCTTTCCGAAGGATTGTTCCCTTTCACTGCCTGGTCTCCCAGGGCAACCCCCGCCGCCGGGTGTGAGGGGAAGGAGTGTGTGTCACTGTGTATGCGTGACACTCTGGGTCTTTTCAGAGGGGCGGGCCTGTCCACACCCCCTTTCATTGGCTCTGCAGCACCAGCCGTGCCCCCCCCCCAGTCCCCGGGGCCTTATGGTCCCCAAGGGTGATTTGTTCTTGGCCCTATCCTGGTGTCCAGTCTGGCCTTGGAAGGGGGTCTCGGAACAGGTGGCCCTCCCCCACCCCTCCTTTCTCCGTTCCCCTCCCTTCTCTCCACCTTACAATAGCTGCAGCCGGCCTGGGGTCGGATGGGGGGGATTAGGGGAGGGGGCCAGGATTAGGGGAATGGACTAGCCGATGAAAGGGGCTGGAGGAGAGCAGAAGGGAGGGGGCTGGGAGGAGGAGGAAGGGGAGGGGGTCCGCGCTAATCGACTCTGGCGCCCACATAAGGACTGGCCACGGACTGAAGGAGAGAACAGGGAAGTAGGGGTAACTGGGGCGCGGGGCGAGGGGACCCACTGCTAACTTGTCCCGAAGACTGGCCACCCCCTGGCAGCCGCAGCGCAGGCCGGCGGGGGACGAACGCCCATCGCGCCCGCTTCCTCCGTGCCCTTATTCCTGCCCTCAACCGGGAGAGCCCTGCTCCTTCCTCTTCTCTTCCTCCCGGTCCGCTTCCTTCACTCCTTGTCCTGGAGACGCTCTGACCACTTTCCCACGCCCGACGTTCACTCGTGTGTTCCCCGAGTCCCTCGCGGGGACCCGCCCCATCTGCCGTCCCCGCTTCCGCGTGGCGTCTCCCTGCCCGGTGCCTCCGGTACGCCTCCCTCCCCACCCCGGGCCGCGGCTCCTGATTGTCCAAACGCAATTCTCGAGTCTCTGGCTCCGGCCGAGAGTTGCGTCTGGACGTCCCGAGCCGCCGCCCCCAAACCTCGAAGGGGAGAGGCCGGGCGGAGCGCGCGGGACGGTCCCCGCACACCCGGGACCCGCCGCTCCCAGCGGCAGAGGTGCGGCGGCGGCCGGCTTTCCGGCGTCCCGGCCCGGCTCGAGAGAAGCCGGGGGTCGCCCGCCGGCCGCGCGGCGGAGGGGAGCTCCGCCCTCGGGCCCTCACGTGCACCAGCGCCCACCCGGCCGGCTCCGCGCGCGCCCCGCGGGGGAGGGGGCGCCCGGTTCCACGGCGCGCGTGGAGCGCGCCGTGAGGGCGGTGACGTCTCCGTCGCGGGGTGGGATGCAGGGAGGGCGGAAGTGACGTCGGGCCTCAGCGCCCGGGCCATGGCTGCGGCGGCGGCGGCGGCGGCGAAGGCTGCGGCCTGAGCGGCGGCCGCGGAGCGAGCGGACCGGGGCGGCGGAGCCCGGGGGTCCCCGGGGAGAGGCGCGCGGCGGGGCAGCGCGACGGCCGGAGCCGGGTGAGGGGCCGCGGGGCGCGCGCTCGGGGCCCGGGGGCGGGGTCTGCAGAGGGGCGGCCCCGACAGCGTCCCCTGTCCTCCCCCCCCCCAGACTTCTCTCCGCGAGCCCCGCTTGGAGGGGGTCTGCGCCCCGTCACCATGACGACGCCGGCGAATGCCCAGAATGCCAGCAAAACGTGGGAACTGAGTCTCTATGAGCTGCACCGGACCCCGCAGGTGACAGGGACCTCCCAGTCCCAGCTTTCTCCCGCCCGCCAGCCCTCCCCTCCCCCACCGCACTGTTCTCCTCCCGACTCCGCCTCGGAACCAACTTTTATCTTCTCGAAGCACTTCTACCCCTACCTCGCTTAGCCCGATGTAGCCCCTCCAAACAGCCAAGCCGGAGCGGTGCGGCAGACAGTACTGTCCTGGCTGAAGCACCGCAAACGCACGCCAGGAGTTACCCTTCCCTCCCACCCCAGCAGCCACATGCCAGGCACACGCATCCGGCCCGCGAGCTTAACCAGAGCCCCCTCTCCCGCGTTCTCACACAAGTGCAGCGGGATGTCGGAATCTGTTCTAACAGGCAGTTCTAGGACAGGCAGCCCCCGCTCTGAGAGTTCCGAGAAAGCCTGTTGCGGGCGGCTGTGGCGGCTCGCGCCTTTAACCCCAGCACTCCAGAAGCAGAGGCGGGTGGAGCTCCAAGGTTGAGGTCAGCTTGGTTAGAGACCCGGCAGGGTTACGGTGAGAGCCTGCCTTATAAATAAATGAACGAACAAATAAATAAATAACCGGCAGGGTTACAGTGAGAGCCTGCCTAATAAATAAATAAGCAAATAAACGAACGAACAAATAAATCTGTTGAACAAATACTCTCCAAGCCATAGATCTGCGCCATCCCCAGCCTCTCCCCTCCGGTCCTTCTCTCCCTGTAAAGGAGCCCTCATCCCTCCTGGATAACTTCCGGGCCGTTGGTCTCCTCCACCGCGGCACTCCCGCCGTCCTCAGCTGGTCAGCACCTTCCCTCTCCCAAAGCTTGCTTCTGAAATCCCTTTTCCCCGCCCCATGGCTGCTGACCCAGGAGGCCATCATGGATGGCACGGAGATCGCGGTTTCGCCTCGGTCCCTGCATTCGGAGCTCATGTGTCCTATCTGCCTGGACATGCTGAAGAACACCATGACCACCAAGGAGTGCCTGCACAGATTCTGCTCCGACTGCATCGTCACTGCCCTGCGCAGCGGGTAACGCGGGGGACAGGCCCGCCCCGGGGCAAGGCGGCGCCGCCTTGGCCACGGGGACCCACCCCACAGAGCCCCCTCCCCCCATCCCAGGAACAAGGAGTGCCCCACCTGCCGGAAGAAGCTGGTGTCCAAGCGGTCGCTGCGGCCGGACCCCAACTTCGACGCCCTGATCTCCAAGATCTACCCCAGCCGGGAGGAATACGAGGCCCACCAGGACCGCGTGCTCATCCGCCTCAGCCGCCTGCACAACCAGCAGGCGCTGAGCTCGAGCATCGAGGAGGGCCTTCGGATGCAGGCCTTGCACAGGTGTGGGTCTTGTCTGGGGGACGGCCGGACCGTCCACCCTCAGGGGTCAGTCATGCAGCTGACGCTGGGCCCGTCTGAGGGCGCGTGCGTGTGTTCTCAAGACAAGTGAGCCTCGCCTAAGCCTGCTCAGTCATCAGCTAGAGACGAACACGCGAACCCCGCTCTTCCTAACCCCGCTCTTCCTAACCCGGACCGTTTGTTGCAGGGCCCAGCGCGTGAGGCGGCCGATGCAGGGATCTGATCAGACGGCGACGATGAGTGGGGGGGAAGGAGAGCCTGGGGAGGCCGAAGGGGATGGGGAGGACGTAAGCTCTGACTCCGCCCCAGACTCGGCCCCAGGCCCTGCTCCCAAGAGACCCCGTGGCGGGGGTGCGGGGGGCAGCAGTGTGGGAACAGGGGTGGGCGCTGCTGGCGGGGTTTGCGGGGGAGCCGGTTCTGAAGACTCTGGTGACCGGGGCGGCACGCTGGGAGGGGGAACCCTGGGCCCCCCGAGCCCCCCGGGGGCTCCCAGCCCTCCAGAGCCAGGTGGAGAGATCGAGCTTGTGTTCCGGCCCCATCCCCTGCTTGTGGAGAAAGGAGAGTACTGCCAGACGAGGTGAGGAGCCTCCGGGATTGAAGTTCAGAAAAGAAGGTTTTCCCTTGGTCAGAAGGGGGCGTCAGGCCTGGGGGGGGGGGTGCGCTCCGCTGGCAGAGCGTTTGTCAAGCACGCACGAGACCCCAAGTTTGCTCCGCAGCAACACCAACCAAGGGCCAAGGGCGGCAGGGAGGTCGAGGCCAGCCTGGGGTACCTGAGCCCCAAGCCAGGCCTTTCGGGGAAAGGTCTCCGCTCCAGCACTCTGCTGCCCCCCCCCCCCCAGGTACGTGAAGACCACTGGGAATGCCACAGTGGACCACCTCTCCAAGTACTTGGCGCTGCGCATCGCGCTGGAGCGGAGGCAGCAGCAGGAGACCACAGAGCCTGGAGGGCCCGGTGGGGGCGCCTCGGACACAGGCGGACCTGATGGGGGTGGCGGGGAGAGTGGGGTTGCCGGAGGAGGTGGAGGTCCTGAGGAGCCCGCGCTGCCCAGCCTGGAAGGCGTCAGCGAGAAGCAGTACACCATCTACATTGCGCCCGGGGGCGGAGCTTTCACGGTGAGCGGCTGCTGGGACAGAGCAGGCAGGACAGAGAGCGGCCCAGGGTGGCCACCGCCCGGCCCCGGCCCTCCCTCTCTGTGGGCCCCTGTTAGGCTGCACCCCCTTCTGCTTTTCTCCTCCCTTTTCGCTCGTCCATTTCCTTTTCCAATTTTCCCTCCTCCTCCCTAGACGCTGAATGGCTCCCTGACCTTGGAGCTTGTGAATGAGAAGTTCTGGAAGGTGTCCAGGCCGTTAGAGCTCTGCTACGCCCCCACTAAGGACCCAAAATGACTTCCAAGGGCACAGTCAGAGGATGTGGATCACCGGGTGCCTCTGTGTCCAGGCTCACCCTGCCAGCTTCGTCGTCTCCGATGCCCTCCAGCCAGACAGCCAGAGGACACAAACAAGGACAACCGGCTTTTACACAGAGCGTCTCTCCTGGGCTACTGTGTGCTGTACAGCACGGCACCTGTACGCACCACTGCCTTTTCTATTGACCCTAACTGCCCACCCTGCAGGAGATGCGGAGGCGAGCAAGGCCCCTCCCCATTCTGTTACCAACAACAGATTTGCTTATTTCTTCTTTGAAACCTGCAGTTCTTTCTCTGTGTGTGTCTCAGGGTAGGGTTGGGAGGTTGGGGACGGGGTAGGGGCGCTGGAGAAGCCGCTCAGCCTTAGCACTGGCGGCTTTTACAGAGGACCCGAGTTTGATTCCCAGCATCCACATAGTGGCTCACAACCATCTGTTTCTGGACATTGGACGCCCTTTTTCTGGCCTCTGCAGTCACCAGGACACACTTTGCGCACTGTCTTGTACAAGCAAAACACGCAAACACATTGAATTAAAAATACACTGGGT